CGGGAGCCGCGTTCCCTCAGGCCGCTCTAGGGAGACGAGGGGTTTGAGCTTAATCGGTCCAGCAGCAGGGGCTGAGGGACCGGCCAGGGCTGCACAGCCAGCTGGTGGTGGCAGAGAGCACGGGCAGCAGAGCAGATGTTTTGAGCCCCGCAGTGCCCCCATACTGCATCTCGCAGGGCCGGCTCTCAGCGCTGCGGGCCCGGAGTCGGACTGTGCCCACAGGAACGCAGCCCTCCGTGGCCAGCAGCACTCCTCACTGCCGTCAGTACAGGAAGCTAAACCATAAAATCCTAACCCAAAAGCCTAGCATGGCAATATAAATCTTCATGCAACTATTTTCACAAAAAGGAAAAACAAAAAGAGCCTTAGATGGAGAAGTTCCATATTACTTGCTGAAGACCCTTCTCTTTATCAGATGCAGAGTTTTGTTCTGCAAAATAAACAACTGATGCCACCACTTTTTCTATTAATGTGCATTTTTGTATAGTGCACTTACAAATGGATTTCTGTATGGACATGAAGGCAGCACTTTAATACTTGGAGAAGTAACTGGCAGGTCTGGACTTTGAGGAGAGATTAGGGAAATAGGTATCTCTTATGAAAGAGGAAAAAAAAGCCTCAAACTGCATCCCCTCCCATCCGCCACAAATGCTGTTTTTTGTTACTGTCATTTAAACGTTCCCATGCTCACTCTGAAATTCTTAAAGAATTTTAAAGTATTTCTTTCTGTATGAAGCTGCATAAAGGAATTTCCAAGGCGAGAAGCAGTACTTAAAATTGAAACAAGTATTTTTGTCATAAGTGATCTCTTGACCTAATGCTTACAGAAAACATTTTCCATATATGACATTCACCTAAAATACATTTAAAAGCAAGTTCAAGCTTGGAAATTTGTAATAGGAGGTGATATTAGTGACACTTTGCAGAGAGATGACAAACATGGTATCTGAATATATTTTGAAATGTGATGCTGAATGTCTTATCTGTAGCAAAGGGCAAATTTAGCATTTTGGATGATGCCAAAGAATTTAAACATAATAAGAACAAGTGCTATTTCTGTAAGTTAGATATTCATTTCATTCTTCTTAGAAATAAATATTCTATGCCCAGTCAGAAGCACTGAAATAATTGTCAATAAGAATAATAACAACAAAAAAAGGACATTCTTTGAAGTCAGAGGGCTACAAGCTTGCAAAGGAGAGTGCTCCCTGTGATTCACAGCTCCATCAGCAGTCCTGAGGAGCTGGAAGGGTAGAGTCAGACTTGTACCTGCCTCATCATCTACGCTGGCATCCAGGGCACCTTTGGTTCTGGAGGAGCGGTGCTGAAGAGGTTTCCATTACCAGCACCCGCTACTTTTTGAGGGTATCAAGCACAAGTTATTTTGGACAAAGTGGGGACCGGTGTACTTCCAACACATGGTGCTACGGAGTGGTTTACCCCAGCCAGCAAGGAAACTTCTTCCTTCTCAAAGCACCTACAGAGATGTTGGCTTAACACAGTGCAGCTGATCCCACAGAGCTTCCAGTTCAAGAGGAGCGTGTGGCAGTGAGCTGCACAGTTGTTTTCTAAGAGTACGTCAGACTGTCTCACGTGCCTCACAGAGTCAGCTATGGCCAAAATAGTCATTGCTGCCACACACACAGACTGAATTTTCTGTTTGCTTGTCCTTGCCACTCATCCTTTCCCAGCTGGGAAAGTTGCTGTGTGCTCCCTCTGCTTTGTCCTTGTGACAGGACTCGTCACAAGGACTTCATATGCTTCACTGGTTTTTGATAATATGACTTTCCAGTCCCTTTTTTTTTTTTTTTTTTTTTTTTAGGAAAATCTCTACTATCTGGCAATTTAGAATGCAGGAACAGTAAGCATTTCTCAGTCTCCATAATCATGCCTTCTAAACTTGGTTTCTTGTTAGTTCCATCTTTAGTTTATAATTGCAGTTTATCTTTTATAGAATCTTAGGGATTCTTCCTGGTTGTTTCTTATTCTACTGACTAGGAAGTGCTTGTATAGCTGTCCAAGCAGTTCTTCATTTTGATTGATCTGCCAGTTCCAAGCTCAAATGATTATATAAAAAGTAAAATAAATCCAATTAATTTCTAAGTACTTAACAGTGAATATAAGAGCAACGTGGAATTACTGCAATGTGGAATTCAGTCTTAGACATATTTCAGCTTTTGAGTTCACTTCTCTTTTAAATAACATCCTCTCCCCCTTACATTTAGGAAGTACAGAAGTTGAATCAGCAGCTAGAGGAGAAAAATGGAGAGATACAGCAGATGATAAATCAGCCTCCGTATGAAAAGGAGAGAGAAATCTTACGGCTTCAGAAGAGCCTGGCAGAGAGAGAGAAGGCTCAGGCCACCAGCGACGTTCTGTGCCGCTCGCTGGCGGACGAAACGCACCAGCTGCAACGCAAGCTGGCATCCACAGCAGAAATGTGTCAACATCTGGCAAAACGTCTGGAGGAGAAGCAAAGAAAAGACAAGGGGAATTCAGATGACCAGATAACTACCGAAAGATCTAATCAGGTATTCTTACTTGCTACTATGTTTTTTTAAAGTCTTAGTAGCTTCTGAAGTGTTAATTACAATAGGACAGTTGTAAATGGGGGGTGGCAAGAAACATCCCTTTAAATACTTCCATGTAGGATGAAAAGACTACCATGGCAAGCTCTAAACAATTCTGAATACCAAAAATTTGGGGTGGAAGCAGTTGTCAGTCACTTGCATTTTGGCTGTTTTGCTTCATCGTTAGAGGCTTCTTTTGGAGATGATCTTGAGAGGTCCCTTCCAGCCTCAGCAACTGCCATGATTGCAGTTCTTCCCTGCAAATACAGGAGATGGTCCATGCTTTACACCACAGCATGCTTCTATGCATCACTAGATGGTGCTGTGCTTTTGAAGGTGGCATCTCTTGATTCCTTGTTTCAGCATCTAAACCACAAAAAAAAAAAAGTAGAGGTCTTTTAAAGTAATATTAAGAACTCTATAGTGTGTGGTCTTCTCTGATCACGATTTGTCTTTGCACACACAGTACTGTGGGTTCATAGAATTATAGAATGTCTGGGCTGGAAGGGACCTCCCAAGGTCATCTAGTCCAACTCCCCCAACATCTCCAACTACATCAAGCTACTCAGAACTTCATCCAGCCTGATCTTGAAGGTCTGCAGGTATGGGGCCTCCACCACCTGTCTGGGCAACCTATTCCAGTGGTCTATCACCCTCATACTGAAGAACTTTTCCTAACGTCTAACCTAAATCTCCCCTTTTCTAGCTTAAAGCCATTAAAGCTAGGGTTGGGGAAGAATGAGTCAAGGTGTCTTTACCTTTAATATTTTTGCTCTGGGGTTCCCTCCTGGCCTCCCAGCGGAAGGCAACGTTTCTCTCCAGCAGGGATGTTGAGAGAAATTGCTTCATGATAGCAGGGTGACAGAAATGCTTCTGCAAGGCACTAATAAACACCTGGATGTTGTATTTTGCTCATGGCCTCACTCCATCATCACCTTTGCTGAAGCTTTTCAGCATAGAGTAGAGGTAGATTGTGTCCTTTTGTTCCAGAAATCATGGTAGTTTACAGTTATACCATAAGGAAGTAACATGAGAGGTGCTTCCTCCAATAACAGGTCAGAGTATCGAGTAGGATGCTACAGCCAGTTCTCACAGGAAAGAACAGTTCAGTCTCATGTTCTTACCCCTACGTAGTGGTAATGTTGTGTTTCACGTGACCACTCATCTGTACTTCTCTGGCACACTCTATATAGGCTCACTTCTACCTGGAAAATATTCCAGGAGCATTTCCAAAAAAAAAAAAAAAAACAACCTTATTCACATTAAAGTTTTCTGTAAGAAATAAAGGTTGAGTGGATACAAGAAAAAAAGGACTTGTGCTTGAAGCTTTTAGTATTACCATATTTTACATGTACTTGATAGACAGGAAGCTTGATTGACTTTGATATATGTAATAAGTACCTAACCTTGTACAGTGGGGACTTCCCTGTTGAAGAAGAGAAATTTCAGATGCAATTACTAGCTGATTCTAGGGAATTTTGCACAAAAGTGCTCAATATTACTCATGTACACCGGGGTTTTTTTAAAGCAGATGTCACAACTGTAAAAAAGGGGTATCATTTTAGTAATTATTTAGCAAGCAGAGCTTTTTTTCCCCTCAGTTCTTCCTAGTACTGGCCAAAATTGACAGTAATAACAAAGCAAGACGAAGGCACATCTGTGTCTTTGTCATGCATTCCCCCACTCAAAACAAGTAGTTTCCAAGGAGTTTGTGTAAACTATTAAAGCTCTGCTGTCTCCAGTGTAGATCCTCATGTGTGTCAAACGTAGTATTTTTCTTGTGACCTTTAGCAGGCTCAGAATTGTTTTTATGACATCTATTTAAAAGCAATACCAAGGTAGTAAAAGACTATGTTTTTGCCCTGCTTATTAATAACAAAAGCTGTAGGCTATACTACTAGTATTTAGAAATATACTATATAGAAATAAGTAGGCCTAGATGCATTTGTTTCACTGATAACAAATGGTTTTAGAGGAAATTCAAAACGATTACTTCCAGTTTAATAGCATAGCAAAGTAGCATTTGGGATTTTGATGTCAAAGTAACACATCCTTTATCTGATAATTACAGCTTTTAGACAATGAAACTTCACTTCAGGCTCTTATCTGCAACCTACAAGACGAAAACAGGATGTTAAAGCAAAAAGTAGCTCACGTGAGTACTTTCATTCTGTACAAGATTAAGATTTGATTATTTTGAATTACAGTAAATTTGGAATAGGTAAGGCCTGGTTAATCTAATTAAATGTCAGTTTAATGAAAGTCCAGAATTTTTCTTAGTAATTTCAACATGGCATGTAATCTTGGTTCCCCTAGCTAAGAAGAAGTTATATTGGTTTTAATGCATTGGGATTTTGTTGTTAAAAATACAGTGTTCTTTCCACACATCAGGATTCCATCCCAGGAGAACAGGGTGACTACCAAGCCCTCCCATTCCATATAATTTAATACTGTTATTTAACATGGACTGGCAGATGGGGAAGGCTGCCTGTGCAGAGCCTGGCTTACAGCATGATAAATACCTGCTCTCCTGTGAAGTGGTTTATCTACACTCAGCAGCTGAGTCAGCCTATTACATTATCTTTTAGGGAATTTGAGTCTTGGACATACAGCCAGTCCGTGAAAGCTTGGAAGTTTGTGTCTTCATGTTGTTCATGACTCTCCTGGGTGATCTTTCAGGTGGAAGGCTTAAATGCAAAATGGCAGAGATACGATGCAAGCAGGGAGGAGTACGTGACCCGACTCCACCTGCAGCTGAAGGAGATGAAGTCCCATCTGGAGCAGCAGCACGGCATAACTTCAGCCCAAACCACCTCTGACCTGATGCACAAGGAGATATGCCGCTTAAACAAGCTACTGGAAGAAAAAATGAACGAATGTGTAAAAACAAAGAGAGAACTAGAAGACCTGAAGAAAGCTAGTGAAGGAGATAATGAGCGCATACAAATGCTGGAACAACAGGTCATTTAAGTTTCTTTTTTCAAAAGATGGGAGTTCTTAGTTTCTTCACAGACCACTGAAGTCCCAAGGGGGAAAAATGAAATTATTTCTTTTGACATTTGCCACTCACCTTGCTACACAGATACTTTACAACACATTTAAAGGAAACTCACTGCTGAAGAACTGCATGCAGTTCTGCTGGCTTGAATAGCAATTGAGAGATCTGAAAAAGAAGTACAAATACCTTTGAAATACAGATAGATATGCTAGAGAAGGCAATATTGAGATTCTGGGAATAAGTATTTGCAAACAAAGGAATCACAGCCTCAACTTTTTAACCTAAACTGCCAATGATCTGATTTATAAAATAATAATTCTTTTTCAGGTGCTAGTTTATAAAGATGATTTTACATCTGAGAGATCAGACAGAGAACGAGCACAGAGTAAAATACAAGAGCTTCAGGCAGAAGTTGCATGTCTTCAACACCAGCTAGCACGACGACAGGTAAGAAAACAACATACTCTTTTTCCAGTTAAAGCATGCCAACAGGATCCAGGACTAAAAGACACTAGTAAATGTGTTTTTAAAAAACTCGAGTACTTCTAAAACTATTTCGGCTTGGTGCAGCTGTCAAAAATTTAATTTCATAGTTCTAGTGGAGGTGCTTTCATTACACATGTAATATCCCTTTCTAGGCCATTTTCCTTCTATTTTGGATCAACATAGTAAATGTGAATTCTTAGAAGGAAGAGAATGATTGTTTTTCAAGAGCGCCTCTTTCTCTTTCTAGGACTCAAGAGACACAAATGGTCACTTCAGAGTTCACGTTGGTAACCAGAATCATACGTATGTTCAGACAAACGTTGAACACCTGCGAGGCAGTAGCCCAGGCCAAACAGGCACGAGAAGAACTTCTTCACAGTCTGAGCAAGCTTCTCCTCCTGCGGACAGTGAAAACTCAGGGCCTGATGGCAGGGCGCAGGGGGAACTTAGGTGCCCTCATTGTATGAGATTTTTCAGTGATGAACTCGGCGATGAATTCCTCAAGCATGTCGCCGAATGTTGTCAGTGACCACATGATGTGAGGCATGTAAGTTGATCACTACTTCACAGACAGTAAAACTTTATTCTGTACCTATCTCCTACAGTCCTAAAACAGAGTAATTCAAATGGATGGCTCTTGGGAATTAGGAGGATGAACGGTATCTACCTCTTACTTCATTTCACTTTCTCTTGGACTCTATGAAAGATAAAGCAAGGTGGTTTTATGAAGAATTATTTTTGACAGCTACGAGGAAGGCAAGCACAATGCAAATTCTACTACAGACTAAACCGAAACGTAGAGTGGTAGTTAGCCTCAGAGTGCAGCTTGACTCCTGTGCAAGTCTGGTTCTGTACAGAAGTCTGAAGGCTTGTGGAAAAAAATTACTGAACTTGAAATTTTCTTCCTCTTCCAAAAATGTGGGCTGGAGAACAGGGGAGGAACATTTTGGGAGAAGAGAGGAAAAGTTTTATTATTGTGCTTTATCTGGATTAAAAGCAAAAGTATTTTCTTGTCTGCTGAGGCTGAACTTCTCACACATCTCATCTGAAAATCCTTGCATTGAGCTGAAATCAGGAGAAGTGAAGAAAACATAAGGGCTGGTTGTTGACTAAAAATAGCCTGTCTTTTTGCACAGAAACTATGTACAGTTATTTATTATTTTCTGTGCCTCAAGTAACTATTTTACACATTTGTAAATGTGTGTTTGTGTAATTATCAATTGTATTCCTATTTTACCTAAGGATTATTTTTATAATAAAAGTGATTGTGCAGTTGCTTTACTACATTAGTAGAGTGGTCAAGAATCTCTTTCAGTGTAAGTATTTAAATGTGAAGTAGTCCCAGTAACTGGTCTATGGGCTAAGTAAATGTCATGGTTTCAGATGCAAGTTATTTCATTACCTCAGTGATAACCAGTATCTCAGGCTATTTTCAAATGTGTAGAAAACCTGCTCATCTATGAGAGGAAGAATGACACAAGTGCTTGCTTAAATTTCTTGTCTTATCTACACTTGAGATAACTTCAACAAATAGCAGGGGACTGTTTTGAGAAGTATCAGGAGTTAAAGAGTACAAATGTAACAAGGCCATAGGTTTTTTCAGCCTTGGTTGGGGATATTTCTCAGCATGTCAGCTTTGGAGTTAAGGATGGGATACAAAGTAAAGGTCTAGTGCAACTATGACATTTCACAATTAAAGAAAGCTTACTTCTTATGTCAACACTCCTGTCTTCTGCTTTGCTTCCTTCCCAGTACTACATTTTAGGAGGACTGCGGATGTTTTCCTTGGTATTTCCTTTTCAGGATCCTGTTACAGCCAGGAAGGCAGCTGATGGTTTATGCCCATGCTGCCTCAGTGGGCTGTTACCAAAGCAGATGCACGGGGCTGTTGCACACAGTGTGCAGGTGTGATGGTTCTTACAAATCCAGCCTTGAACTGACTGCAGACCTGAGGTTCATTTCCAGATTGCTTTTCCCAATACAACAGGCAGAGATTTTTTTTTTTTTTTAAATAATTTTAGTGACCATTTTATACATTGCCTTTTAAGGTCTTAGAGATCAGATGCAACCCACAGAAGATAGGCTGAGAAACATATGATTAAACTTCCTGTGGCATAAGCTAAACTTAATTTTTCTGGCTGTTCTCATTAGACAAGCTGCATTTACAATTTCAATGTACACCAGTACTATATTGCCAGTGACTGATGCAGCAGCATATGGACATTTTTAAACTGATTCATATTATAAGACAGCTACAGAGACACAACAATAAAGTAAATTAGATCTTGGCAGTGCATTGTTTTTTAATGCATTTGAGATGGTCACTGCTTGTAAATATCAGCCAGAAGCTGAAGCCTGCTGTGGGTTTCTACTCATGTTAATCCCTATGGGTATAGTTTGACAGACTGACCTAGAACTGTTGGAAGTATATACGAGAATCTGAGACCTGTGAATTAGTCCCCTTGTCAAAGCATGGATTAGAGTTCAAATCCTGGGAAAGGAGGGCACTTGAACGCTGGGAAACTTGATGTATCTCTGCAGAGGAGCACACTGGACATACAGATTACAGCTACCACCTAAAGCTATGCAATAAATGACTGGAATTTGAATACCCATGGCAAAAAATCTGGGACAGATCTGCTGTTTTTCAGTACAAAAACACTTCAGAGCTTTTTTATTTTTTCCATTTCCTGTTGATTTTTTTTTTTTTCTGGCTGGTAAAAAGCCTTACCTATACTTTTATTTCTTTTTGGCTTAACCAAGAAAAAAGTTACACACACTATGAAGAAGTACCAAGTGTCTTACATGCAAATGTTTGTTTCGGATTATAGGGCATAAGTTCTTCCTCCTCAGAAAACTTGTCTATTACCCTGTGTTTGACTTCTACACCAGTTACTGGTAGATCTCTTAAAGACACAGTATAAAAATCTTGACTTGCTCTCTCCTCACCAGACAAAACATACACATCAAGGCATCTCAGGCAATTACCACCACCACCTGCATTCACACTTCAGGTTCTCAACTCGTAGACCAGAATAAATAAAACCTGTCAGCTCCATTGCCTCTACACCCAAATGAAAGCAGCCTTGAGTTCCCAGCACTTTTCTAACCCTTTAAATTAAGAAAAGCCCCTTCTGGCCTCACACCAGTGTTCTCTGCCACCTGGAAGGCCATCCAAGTAGTGCATGTCTTCTTTGGTTAAATGGTAAAGGCAAGCCTGTTCTTTTCCCAAAAGAAAGTAATGAAGGCATATGAGTAAGAAAGTAACTGCATAAAATGAAAGGAACTTCAGTACCATAAACTTTATGAACTTTCATTATCCATTTGCACCACGCTTGTTCACTGAAATGCACATCATCTGTAAAACTGCAGAAATAAGGCCTCACACGGGAGACTCTTGAAATCATACAGAGAAACTACGTGACCATATGAGGCTCAGTTCCTTATTTGCTGTACCAGTAACAAAAGGCCTCCAAGATAACTGAACCCCGTTGCCAGGAGAAGTCCGTGCGTGGTGAGCTACGGCCACACTGCAAAAGCACGCCAATGCTAGAAGAAACACAGAGGTGCCTCTCTAGGTCCAGGGAGGCTGGGAGGATGTAGGTTAACTATCCATTCTGGGACTTGGAGGAATGGGTCTCAGTGTGTCAAGATGTATTTGTCCAACTGCCTTCATGATGAGTCCATCCCTTCACGTAAAATTTCTTCCTCATTAAATCAGAAAGAATCCCTCAGTTGTGCTTTCCAAACCAGCCCTGGTTCAAACCTGGGACAAGCTCAGGGCTCCTGAGCAGCTGCCTCCTCAACAACGAGGCACTCAGACCCTACATCCTCCAGCTGCTGGCAAGCTGCTTCTCATTACTCACGAACCAAATGATAATGTATTTTGCTTGGGATTTTAAAGTAAACGCTGTTTACTAATAACTCTGCTGGTTGCCACGCAGAAGTAGGTCCTTAGCACACAATCACAACAGCAGCTGCAGGCAAGACTGACTCACTGAATCTCAGAAAATACAATTGGGACAAGCCTCAGAAGTTGGTCCTCTACCTCAAAAGTCCCAAGGGAGGAAGGATCAACAACAATCCTGTCTTCTGAGGCACAGGCAGTATAGAGCCTAAAAAGCTTCTCAAATCTGCAACTTTTAAGGCAATGTCAGCTTCCCCCTCCAATGATTTAGGACATCACATCTTTTCAAACGAGCCTTAAATGATGCCTCAAGATTAAGTGCTCACTAATAATAAAACCAACTACAAGAATAAAATTTGTTTGAGAAGTACATACCTATGCTCTATGGTATTTTTTTAAAACTTCCATTTCCTGTGGCTTTGCTGCATGTATATATATATAGAAAGCAAGGGAAATTCCAAACAAGATGCCACACACGGTTGTACTCAGAACAGCAGTGCTTCTCATTCTAAAAAAGGGAAGTCTCAAATTCTTTTTCTACAAAATCTATGTGAATTCAAAGTATGCTGTAGTAATATTTCCTAGTACCATGCTCCAGTAGCTAGTGGGGGTGGGGGAGGTGTTTCAGCTAAAAACCTAAAGTGTAAGAAATACTTATAAAGCACTAGGCCAGCCCAGCCAGACCTCAGCAGAGGGATGGGGCATCAGGTTAAGCACTCCTGCCTTCACACGTGATGCCTCAAATTGCTCCCCAAGCCATCATTTGCAGCCCAGCCCACTCACTGAAGCTTGCCCTGCCTCAGGCCACCCTAGCCAGAAGGTCAGAGCTCCAGCAGGGTCAGGTGGGAATTTACAGGGTGGTGCAGTAACTCCTTACCCAGGGGCTCCCAAAAGGCACCAACCATTCCAAGTGGCACAGGACTTGTGTGCCTCTATCCCCACTACTGCTCAGTACATTCTTCCCCTTTCTTTAGTCCACCCACTTTTTCCATCCTCTTGTCACATTTGCTGGTAAGACACTGTTGATGGACGAACTCATGCACTGGATGTATGGTGTCTATAGTGGCCAGCAGCCTCCCTCAGGACCTTGAGATGTTTCCATAGCACATGGAACTCCACTGTGAACAGCACTGAGCCAGATGGTTCAGCTTATTTCTAGATGGCACCAATCCTCCCCCGGCATTTGAAGCATGTACTTGGCCTAACCACACTTGCTCCCTCACCATCCTTCCCTGGACCAGCCCTCCAGCAGACCTTCTAGAGAGCTGGCTGATAGCTGGGCCTAGCACCCTCGAGCAGGGCTGGCTGCTTGTGCTGACGCCCACCTCTTCGGTGTCATGGGAACTCACCTTGTCTGAGGCTTTCACACTCTAATTTCCCAAGGAGTGGTAAGGAGAAAAGAGCAGTGGGACCCAGCTCTGCAGTGCTTGCAGATCCACTCCCTGTCACCACTGCAACCCTCTCTCTCCTTGCTTCCCCCAGCCTGCAATGACCACACCTCTCTGTCAAATCCATATTCATACAAAAAGTGTTTGACACGGGGTCTTTTAAGCACCAATAGACACCTTCTGGGTTACAGAAATGTGACAGGAGGGGCGCACACTGCCAGGCAAGCCTGGCGT